GAATATGAAAGGTGTTCACAAATCAAAGTACATATAATTCAGAAACAATCATAAATTTTTTATAATCAACAAAAAAAAAATAAATAAATAAATAAATAAATATACGTCCCCACTTAAGGTTTCATATCTAATTTCAGTGTTGATTTCAAATCAAAAAAGAATTTTTAAAACATTTCCAAGTTATCTTAGAAAATGATAAATTGTAATACATTAATTAACTGGTTTACTGTAAGGAAACTTGGTCAGGAAATTTGCATTTCTGGCTGTACTCAAGCTTTATCCATAAATACTATCCATACTGAACGATCCAGTGCTTTGGTATTATAATTGCGAATGTTCAGCTTCTGTAAGTAACTTTCAACTTCGACCTGGGGCTTACATAGGGGTTTTTCAAACTATCTCGTCCTATGGATCCGTAAAGGAATTAAAGTAATTTTAAAAAGTAACGAGTTTTCAGTCAATCTCATGTTTGGAATCAGTTACTCTTACTCGTTTAACAATAAACAATAAACTATACTATGTTACTACGAGAGAACCTAATTGAGAGAAATGTGTACATCAATTCAATTATTTTAATTAAAAATAATAAATAATAAAAAAAATAAAATGAATAAAAATAAATAATAATAAATAAACTTATAGTGAGTTGATTAAAATTTGTGGTAATAATATTATTATTTACATTGTTTATTTTTATTTAATGATTTTTATATTTCTAAAATTACTATTTTTAATGGGTTTGTTTTTTTCAAGTAAAAAATGGCCCAGTTATTTTATAGTAAGTTTACTAATATTAGGTCGCGTTCAATATGCTATACTTTTGGTGAGCATATCCTGACTATGTACACACATGTATTCAATTTTTTTAAAAACTCTCTATTATAGAATTTATGACTACATATATTTTATCTACAAAATATAAAAAAAATAAATTATTATTATCACGTCGGTTTTTTATATATTCCCATATGTTTTTAAACAGTCCAGAATTTGGAAAAATATACTGCTCAAGGTACTGATATATAGGTGTATTAAGGTTCAAACAATTTTTGTGGAAGACCATGTCAAGTTTATATATGTTATATATGCCTGATATTCATAACAAATGGATTATACACATATGCATATATAACTGTAGGAAAATAGAAAAATTTTGAAAATGTCCATTAAAGCAATTGGAATAAATTTATGAACTATACTATAAATACTTAAAATAATTTATTTATGAATTAGATTTACCTTCATACTTATATTCTACAAGCATTACTACTCAACAAGTAGAATAAATCTTATTAGTCTTTAGTAGAGACATGGGCTTAGAGAGAAAACCAAGCAAAAACAGTCTTATAAATAATTTTAATCAAATAGGATAAATAAAAAATATATCTGCTATTTTTTATTGCTGATATTATTTGTATTTATTAAAAATAATTTTTTATAAGAATATCTTATATAAGTATTATTGTTTATTTTTTAAGACCAAATAATTTTATATTGTTTCTTTAAAATATTAGCTAATTTATAACTAACATTAAAAATGATAAAATAAAAGAAATGTATTCATTTATAATGCATAACTATTAGTTAGCTTTCTCATGAACTATTAAACCGAATGTAGCTATACAAACAACACTTATAACTTAGTTTAAGTCACTTCCGTTATATGCAAAAGAAAATAAAAACATTACAGATTAAAACAGAAAACAGTTGCATTACCAAAAAAATGTAATAATGCTAAGTATATATAATTAATTATTAATTTATAATTTCTTAATATTAGTTATACGATTTAAAAAAATATGGGACTACCTATGGATATAAAAGCTGTTACGAAGTCTTCCGATGAAAATGATAATGTTGAAGATGTTGAGTCTACTGTCAAGAAAAGGAATACAAACGGGTAAGACAATTAAAGTCAACTGCATTAATTTTCATATTTTAGTATTATTTTTTCCCTAATAGAAGACTAGCAACTGCTACTCATCTCTTCAAGGGCAGTGTAGGAGCTGGCCTATTCGCGATGGGTGATTGCTATAAAAATGGTGGGTTGATTGGAGCAACTGTACTGCTACCGATTTTGGCTGTGATATGTGTTCATTGTGAAAGAATGCTAATTGACTGCTCAGTGTCTGCGGTGGCGAAAACTGCAGGTGCTACATTCTATGATTATCCTGAGACTGTTGAAAAGTCCTTCGAATATGGTCCACTGCCTTTAAGACGTTTCTCGAAGTTTATGAAGTTTATTGTGGAAATGTTCTTATGTGTAACGCAATTTGGTTTCTGTTCAATTTATTTTGTGTTTATAACAGAAAATGTACATCAAGTGAGTTTATAAAAGAATTAAAGTATTTTTTAAATATTATTTTATTATTATTTTAAAGGTACTTGAACAAAATGGCATTCACATCAGTCAGGAACTTGTGATGTTAATAACATTATTACCAGCTATGATACCGTCTTTATTAACTAATTTAAAATATATAGCTCCAGTTTCTATGTTGGCAAATTTCGCGCTTCTATTTGGTTTAGTAGCTACACTAACAATTGCATTCCAACAAGGACCTATGCCACCAATAAGTGAACGCAATTACTTTACGAATGGCACTCAGATGTCTTTATTCTTTGGCACAGCGCTATTCTCCTATGAAGGCATTGCACTTATCTTACCGCTTAGAAATTCTATGAGAGAACCCAAGGATTTCAGCAGTAAATTTGGTGTTCTAAATCTGACTATGATTGTAGTTACAGCTCTATTTCTTTTCACCGGTTTCGTCAGCTATTTACGTTGGGGTGAAGAAGTACAAGGCAGTATAACTTTAAATTTGGAAGTGGAAGAAGTGTATGTTGTATAAAATTTTTAGTACTCAATAGTGCGTAATTCTGATTTCTCCAACTGGTCAATTTGACAATGGATTTTAGTGAAATCAACTAATTTGAGCAAGTTTTTCCGCTCTGGTTTATTAAATAGAGTTAATTTCGAGAAGTAAGCTCCTGCTATTGAGTATATGTAATTTTTACTTAGATTAAACAAATGAAGAATAAAATGGGTAGTAGACGCGTCGACTTGTTGTTGGTTTCCATTTAAATATTTTCAACTTTAAAACTCGATATCTGGAAAACTCAGCTATATTGATATGCAGCATTGTAGAAAATATTTCTCACAATAGTTGTCTTCACTAAAACCCGTTCTCAACTTGGAGTGCCCGGAAAATTGGAACCGTGTTTTCTGTAGTTAATATATGAAAGTTTATATACTTATTTAATTTCATTCACAGCATGTCACAAGTTGTTAAAATTATAGCCGCTTTAGGTGTGTTTTTTGGCTATCCAATACAGTTCTTTATTATGATCAGAATTATTTGGCCACCAATGAAGGAATCATCGAGCTGTACTCAGAAGTTTCCAATAACAATACAGGTTATCCTACGATTCATAATGGTCATATTAACATGTAAGTTTGAAATACGCACTGCACTCATAAGTGCAATTAAAAGTTACAACAAAAATCTACTTTGCACTTTTGACTAGTCTAGATATCAGACTGCACTATAGACGTCAAGAATTTTTCAATGACTTTCATATCTCTGTCAACTACTTAATTGTTATTAATTTGAAGTACTTCAAATCAATCATTTAATATGTAGCACAGTTACTTATTTCTTTTTACCTCAAACATTGCTAATCAATGTAAATATAGAGAAATTCGATTCCATTTTATCAGTAGAATAATATTGTTATGAAATATTTTTATCTCTTTTATAGTTATCGTGGCCTTAGCGGTACCTAAACTAAGTCTCTTCATATCGCTAATTGGTGCAATGTGTTCTACTTCGCTGGCTTTTGTCATACCAGTGTTGATTGATTTTGTAGTGCGTGCTCAAGTTCCTAAAGCGCTTAACTTTTGGATATATCTGAAGAATATAGTTATCATGTTGATAGCAGTACTGGGTATTGTTACAGGAACTTATCAAAGTATTGTAGAAATTATTAAAGCATTCGGCCTGTAAATTAGTATTGTTGTACTTATTACTTGTGAATAGTTTGTAATATTGTAGTTGTAATAATGTTATGTTAAGTAAATGATTTATTTTAAATTGTATTAAA